TTAGAGATAAATTGGATTTGTTTTGCTTTGTTTTTTTGGCAGTGAGTGCAATTCGTCTTCTTAGAGGAAGAAGGGCTTAACCTACCTGAAAGCCCTCTAATTGTTTGTTTTTGAAACTATTAGCCCTCAATGTACATTTTGTTTATTTTAACTCATAAATTTCATATTAATGCTATAATTATCTTAGAATAGACAGAATCTCATCATGTCAATCAAGTGATCATCTCTACTCTATTATCATATCCTTGTCAATGCCATGTTGGTATAATTATAGTTTACTTGGACTCATGGAGTGGAAAAAATTCCACCTAGAATAAGATCCATATGTGCTTTAAGTAAGATTTTCCCTCCCATAAATCTAAGTGGATCACATTTATACTAACTAGTGCTAACAAGAATAAGGTAATAGAATAGTGGCAATCATGTGACTGACCGTAATAAGATTTTGTCTATTTTACACCAACTACAATAATAACGCAAAGTTTAAATGTTAAAGGACACAAAATAGATGTTGAAGGGTTAATAGTCTCAAAAACAAACAGTTGGAGGGCTTCTAGATAGTTATGCCCAAGGGGAACAAGACAGAGTCCTTTTCTTGTGATAAATGCTTTTTTTTTTAACTTAACCCTGAAATTAATGTTATAACCTTGATTTAACGGCTTAATTGAATACATTAAAAGTTAATAGATTAAATTGTAATGTTTACACCACGCAACATCTATGCACGGCTCATATGAAGCCGCCCAAGATGCTTGTGATTTTTGCACCCATCCATTCTAACTAAGGGACGATGGATAGATGGAAAAGCTAAATTTGATACTGTTTTTTAGTACATATGGACAATTAGGGAGAAAAAATAGCTTTAAGACAAAATTGATGTTGGGTCTAGAATAGACCGAACACTACATTTAGCTATTTCCTAAGGTAAAAGGAGAGAAATTTTATTAAAGCCAAAAGTTATCATGTGGAAATTTGAAAGAAGATCACTGCAGGTGGGGTAATTTTTTTTGATGAATAAGATGATATATTATATAATAGAGAATAATTTTATCCTCTCATCACTTGTAGGTGGAATTATAAAAATGTAAGAATTTGTTAAATCGACACAAATTAGTGTATATATTTTGTTTGATTAATA